CAGGGGTCTGTCCAGACATTTTGTGAAAGGTCCGTTTTTTGTAAAATTGTGAAAAAATTACTCGTAATTTGTGAATATAAAATAAACGTTAAGTCACATTCTTTCGACCAGGGTCCGCTTTTGTGAATTTGAGCAAATAGGGTCCGTTACAGCAAAAAAAATACTTTTTCAAGGAGTTTCTAAATTGCAAAGACATACAAGATTATGCTCAATGCTGTAAAATTATAATTAAAAAAAAATTATAATTAAAAAAAAATTAAATTTTAAAAAATAAACAGCAAATGCAGCTACTAAATAAGCGATGCAACATACAAATATTTGGTATTTAGCCTATACTGCTGAACGCAGAATATTAATTTCGGACGAATAATGGAAGAATCGTCTGCCGAAGACAAAACTTAATTCGTTTACATCCATCTTTCTTGTTTTCTGCCCTGGAAAGGGTTTATTCGATTAACAAAATAATAATGAAGGTAAACAAATTTGTGAAGGGTCCGATTTAAAGATAAATTATTTTGTGAAGGGTCCGTTTTTAAGTTAAAATATTTTGTGAAGGGTCCGTTTTCATGAAAAGATATTTTGTGAAGGGTCCGTTAACGGACCCAAATTTCTTCTAAACAGACCCCTGTAAAAGAATGACTATATGTTTTAAAACAATGATCTGAAAAATTGTTCTTATCAACTATAATGATGCTGAAAAATTAAACACCTTTAAAAATCTTCTACCAAAATTAAGTACTTTTAAGGGCACTTATTTTCCAAAATAAAAGTTAAGCAGTTTTTAAGGACTTTTAAGGACCGTGGGAACCCTGTTATTACTGAAGGGCTCTGGTATTGATTTTGGTAAATTAACAATAAAATATGGTTTTATAATACGTGATAAAATTTGGTAATTTTATAATGATCCCTTTGAGCATGTCATACAAACCATTTTTTTGGTTAAATTTACTTTTCAGTTTTATGTGTTTTACTAAATGTGTGGTTATAAGAACTATAAGTTTGAAAACCAGAATTTCCGATAAACCGTTACCATATAAATGGAAAACAAAATTGTTTTGAAAATTGTAAATTTTGGACTAAAAATTGTAAATTTCTAAAAATACCGTAAATGTTGGCTATATTAACCAGAATTACAGTTTTTTTTTTCGTTTACCGAAATTGTCATTACCATACAGTACGGAAATTTTACCATAATTGTTTTCTCCGTGCGGATATCAACCCGGAAGTCATGGTTTCCCACAATACTTAAAGTGTCCATGAGGTAACAACTAAAGTAAGCTTTATTTGTTTAATTTTGCTATCATTAGAACATTTCTGTACATGATTATTAAGTTTATAATGATTTTTGCGGTCTACAGCGGTGGTCAAAACGATTGTAAATTAAATCAAAAATAAAATTTTCAAGTATTACTTTTGCTACCACTTCATAAATTAAAGAAAAATCTTCGAATCAAATTGTAAAAAAGAGGGAGAAAATGGCAATATGAAAATAAACTGGAGATAGCACGTTAAGTGACGTCTTATATACATTTCTGATAAATAACATGGGTGAATATCGCGTGAACTGGAGATAGTATGTTAAGCGATGTCTTACATACCATTTCTGATAATTTACATGGGTGAAAATTTTGTGAACTGGAGATAACATGTTAAGCGATGTCTTACGTACAATTCTGATAATTAACATGGGTGAATATGGTGTGAACTGGAGATAGCATGTTAAGCGATGTCTTACATACATTTCTGATAAATAGCATGGGTGAATATCGCGTGAACTGGAGATAGTATGTTAAGCGATGTCTTACATTCCATTTCTGATAATTAACATGGGTGAAAATGCCGTGAACTGGAGATAACATGTTAAGCGATGTCTTACGTACAATTCTGATAATGACCATGGGTGAATATGGTGTGAACTGGAGATAGCATGTTAAGCGATGTCTTACATACATTTATGATTTTTTAACACCATAAAGAAGAGATAATTAAAAAAAGATATAAATTTCTTTATCATGCCGTTAATCCAATGTAAGTTTTTGGATTATATTATGTTACACTGGCTAAAAATCAAAAACTTATTTTAAATCATTTTAGTACGAAGTTACAAATAGTTTATACAACGGAATAAACAAAATGAGAAATAATTTTCGTACTTCGTGACATAGTTTATCAATATTTGAAGCAGAATTCAGCAATCTTTTATGCACTATTCGATAAACTAAACTCAAACAAAATAAATAGTATTTTTCGTATTTCGAGAGATAATTTATCACTGCTTGCATGAGAATTCAGTATCTTTTATGTACTATATAATATAACAAGTTCAAAAAGTGAAAATAAAATAAAACAATGCATTGACATTAAGCATTCATTGTTTATGGATACCTATGTAAAGGTACATGGGAAGAGAAAATGTTAAAACCAACTATAAAATAGAAAAACAACCACAAATATCCAATGTAATGAATTACGATTTCATCGCGTTTCTTTTAGTTTTTTTTCTACTCAATTGGCAGTAAAAAATGAAAATATATTTAAAACACTTCTGAATCAAATTATGGTATAATGCATTTTGGATACATTATCCGTAAAATTCATTTTTAACGTAAATTTTACATTAATATTTATTTGATTAGAGTGACTCAGTGATTTAACAGAAATTATTACTGTAAAAACTACTGCATATCAGATTTTTTGTGCCTCAGCATATTCCTGTAAAAATGGATTTTATGGTAAATAGTACAGGCACTACTTTTTATCCGGAATTTTTTGCAGTGTAGAAATTCCATAATTATCAATCTTATCATTAAAAATGAAATTATAAAACTGGCGATTTTCATATTAAATTTTAAATTTAAATAGCATTATGTTCGGAAATGACCATAAAATTTAATACACTATATTAATACCCAACACTTTAATATTTTGAAACTAGCAACAAAGGAGGTCTATGGTAGATTTCGTCTATTCAAACAAAAAATTAGTATAAAGCACTTGACGTATAAGTTTAATTTTTCAAAATTTAACGTGAAATGAATGATCTCTAGGGGTACGATTCCTACATAATCGTCTTAATTTAATCTTAGATTAGTTAATGCATACCTCTGAGCACTTCTTCGAGATCTTCCAAGGTGATAGGACACATTCCCCCGGGCAATGTAGTCGACAGGGCTCTAATTCCACTGGTTTTAGCAAGGGATCGCACTTCGATTCAGGTACTTCTTCATCACTCCATTTATTGAGACATCTGTAGGAAATAAACATAATACAGTGACCGCCACTAATAAAACCACTAGATTATACAAATCAGCTGCTTCTTTAAATTAAATCTGCAAGAATGGAATTAATATGTACAGTGCGCAACCTAACCCAGAATAACTTTTGATCTAATGATCGGATCTTCACGTTCTAGGACTATGCTAATTAATAAGTGCAGACGATATTTTTAGTTACGAAATCATACACAAAAACGTACTATCTTTTAGTTTCCTTACTATTTTAATTATTGTTATAGCGAAAAAAAATTTCTGATTGTAAGCAGGGGTCTGGTTAGAAGAAATTTGGGTCCGTTAACGGACCCTTCACAAAATATCTTTTCATGAAAACAGACCCTTCACAAAATATTTTAACTTAAAAACGGACTCTTCACAAAGTATTTTAACTTAAAAACGAACCCTTCACCAAATAATTGGCTTCTTAATCGGACCCTTCACAAATTTGTTTATCTTCATCATTGTTTTGTTAATCGAATAAACCCTTCCCAGGAAGGGGGGGGGGGAGAGAAAGACAGATGTAAACGAACTAAATTTTGTCTTCGGCAGACGCTTCTTCCTTCATTCGTCCGAAATGAATATTCTGCGTTCAGCAGTATAGGCTAAATATCAAATATTTGTATTTTGCATGGCTAATTTAGAAGTTGCAATTGCTGTTTATTTTTTAAAATTTTATAATTAAAACTTAATAATTTTAAATTAATTATAATTTTACAGTGTTGAGCATAATCTTATATGTCTTTACAATTTAAATCTCCTTGAAAAAGGTTTTTTCAATAATAGGTCCCTATTCGCACAAATTCACAAAAGCGGACCCTGGTTGAAAGAATTTTACTTATCGTTTATTTTATATTCGCAAATTACGATTAATTTTTTCACAATTTTACAAAAACGGACCTTTCACAAAATGTCTGGACAGAGCCCTGAAATGTGTTGGACAGATGTAGAGGGAACCTCTAAAAATAGATTTTATTCTGCTCTTAATTCGAGGTTGTGGTATTAAAAGATTACCGATTATATTTGTGAATTTTATTTGCAGAGAAAAGCATTAAATGAGATAATAATTTAGTTTTTAAATAATAGAAAATATGTTATGCATAATTCAGCATGATAAGGGTTTTATAAAGATATATGTGAGTAACAGTGAAGATTAGCGTGCGGCCAAAAAGAGAGACTGATTTTGGGGATCTATTTTCTATTATGCATTGATCATTTCTCAACGAGTTTATTTGTATTTATAATTAAAGAATTTGTAAATTCTGTTCAAGTCTAAATAATCAGAGAAGTTCAAGTCTATGGCCAATTTTACAGTAGGTAAAATTTTAAAAAATCTCCACAAAAAAAAAAAAAAAAAAAAAAAAAAAAAAAAAAAAAAAAACAGATGGTCTTAAAGAATCAGATTAATTTCAGATATTAAGCTTTATGAATTTCTTTCCATAAATTCATCTTAATCACAAAAATATTTTTACAGAACGATACTAGGGAAAAAAAATATTAAAAAACTGCCATATATGATGATTTCTAGGGGTCTGTTTAGGAGAAATTTGGGTCCGTTAACGGACCCTTCACAAAATATCTTTTCATAAAAACGGACCCTTCACAAAATAATTTATCTTTTAATCGAACCCTTCACAAATTTGTCTATCTTCATTATTTGTTTGTTATTCGAATAAACCCTTCCCGGGGGGAAAAGAAAGACGTTTCGCGACAAACTAAGATTCCATAAGTTCAAATTCCAAATCTAGTATTCTAAGAAAATATTATACTTTTACAAACATCGTGCGCGCATTCTTATTAATATTAAATAATATTTTTTTTTGTAAAAAAATATATGATCAATTTATATTTATTAATAAAATTAATTAATAGAATATTATGTAAATAAAAATTAATTTCTGGCAATTTTTTTAAATAAAATATTATAAATTTAAGACTTGTTTAAGTTTATTTAATGCGTAACACATTAAAAGTGATACATTAACCACTTCATTAACATAGTTGTGTTATTTAAAATATGTCAATTGAAATTATTAAAAATGTGAGTGATTTTGTTTCCATTATTCGTCCGAAATGAATATTCTGTGTTGAGCAGTATAGGCTAAATACCTAATATTTGCATGTTGCATCTCTAATTTAGTAGCAGCAATTGTTGAGCAGAATTACAATTTACAATTTAAAAACTTCTTGAAAAGGCTTTTAGCAATTTTTGCTATTTGCACAAATTCACAAAAGCAGGACCTTGGTTGAAAGAATGTGATTTAACGCTTATTCTATATTTACAAATTATGAATAGTTTTTTTCTCACAATTTTAAAAGAACAGAATCTTTTACAAAACGTCTGGACAGACCCCTGATTTCAACAAGTAGGATTTGTATTTAAAACAATTGTCCCACCATCCAAAAAGGCGGGCTATTCTTTAGGCGAAAATAAGACTTAAATCTGAAATATCGATTAGGGAATCTAATACGAAGTTAATGATTCGAAGATAAAAGAAAATCCTGAACATTCTAAACTATTCACTCTGGTACTTTTCTTTTTGATTAAAAGAGTTTTGGAAGTTTGAGGATAAAAAGTGCGATAATTGTTTTAGCCAAGACTTTTTCTAAAGTTAACTTTTCTTACATTTATAAGACTTTTTATTTTATTTCATTCCAGCATTGTCTAGACATGTTCTTAAATGTTTTAACCCTATTAATTTCAAATTAAGGAAATTTAGAATTTGTTTGTTTTCCAACTTTTTTTCCTCTTAAATTGGAACTAGTACTTAGAGATTTACTGACTCAGTATCATTTTTAGTAATTGCGAAGTACACTGGTCTTCACAACAAAGAGAACTTTTTTGATTTCGTCGAAAAGAAGAAAACTTAACGGATTTTAAAGGAATTTCGTTTACATGTAGTCTAATATTTTAAAAATAAATACTTGAAAGCAGTTGTAAGTAATGATTCACTCATGCGATTGGAATTTAAAGTATGGAACAAAAAGTTGGTTCACAGAAGGTAAGGCATTCTCAAACATATATACATATTTTACGCAGTAATTTCGTTCTCTAAATAATGTAGGATAGAACTTTCTGAAAAATTTTATTTTATAACATTTGATAACCGTCGTTGAACAGCAGACACAATTTTTTGGGGTTTACGTCAACTAATGTTGAACTCCATATCCTTGTTATTTTGAACCCAATCCAGAGGATAATGGATCTCCTGGATCAAGTATCGGGAGAAATTTGCCTTCGTGGAGGACTTATGCTTTATGCTTTACTTTATGCTTTACTTATACGACTTTATGCTTTACTTTATTTAATTTTTTTAATAACATAGAAAATTACTACCATAAACTTCGTATAATGAAGAAAGCTATTAAAAATAAAATCAGAATGTATTATATATATAGTTGCTCAGCACAATGCTCTAAGAACTTACCTAACTAAACGGTAGTGCATCCCATTTCCACAGAAGGAATCGTTTGTCAAAGAACAATTACTCCAACTGTCCGCCAACCAATAATAATCGGCACAAACTATGTGGCATACGTCCTTTTGAATCTCCTACAAACAAAAAGCACATACTATTAAAGTAGAAATCAATAGCTATGTGACAAACAATGAAAAATTTTTATTTAATTAAAAACTTCATTGGCTTAAAAATTATATAAATTAAAAATAACAGTCGACATAATTCATGCGCTAAAAAACAGGCTCCCATTTTCAAGACTTGCCAGACGTGAATGAGGAGAAACAAAGGCGATTTGAAATATAAAACGTAAAAATGCCAGAAAAATAAAGATGAGAAACAAAACTAGAAAACCCACAGTAGCTGAGAAAGAAAAAAAAATGAAAAACAGAACAAGAAAAACCGCAGTGCTCACAAAAGGCAAATCAGGCTAAAATGCATTTCCACGAGCAATGGAGGGGTAGCGAGGAACTAATTTCGTTAACAAGGAAATCAACATTCATATGAATAAAACAAGATTCCCGGGCATCAAGATGAGCATATGAGACAGAGATGGTAAGAATTTTGGCATTTCGGTTACTTAAAAATCCATTGCAACTTAACGCTGTTAGATAATAATTTTTTCGACCTTTTCTTTTTTTGAACTTCGATATTTTTAATAAGCCATCACGACACGCGAATTTCAATTTTGAGTTATGAGATTTGCTCGATTCGCAACGATGTATTCGCAAAAGCACGTCGTTTTCCGATCGCTTTTTCCAAAAATTCAACACGGAAAAATTTTGCGCGATCCGTTTTATAAAGTGAAACTTCGTAAAGGGCCGTTTTTACGAATTTATGTGAAGGAACCGTTTCTACAAGTTAGAATTTTGTGAAAGGGCCGTTTTTTAAAATTTAAATTTTGTGAATGGGTCGTTTTTCAAAGTATGAATTTTGCGAAGGAGCCGCAAAGTGGCTCTAATACCCCTAAACATTATATCAGAAAATATTGAAAAAATATTATTAAGTTATATCAGGGGTCTGTCCAGACATTTTGTAAAAGGTTCGTTTTTGTAAAATTGTGAAAAAATTTCTCGTAATTTGCGAATATAAAATAAACGTTAAGTCACATTCTTTCAACCAGGGTCCGCTTTTGTGAATTTGTGCAAATAGGGTCCGTTATTGCATAAAAAACTTTTTCAAGGAGTTTTTAAATTGTAAGAGATACAAGATTATGCTCAACACTGTAAAATTATAATTAAAAAAATTAAATTTTAAAAAATAAACAGCAATTGCAGCTACTAAATTAGCGATGCAACATACAAATATTTGGTATTTAGCCTATACTGCTGAACGCAGAATAGTCATTTCGGACTAATAAAGGAAGAAGCGTATGCCTAAAACAAAATTTAGCTCGTTTACATCTGTCTTTCTCCCCCCCCCCTTCCTGGGAAGGGTTTATTCCATGAACAAAACAATAACCAAGATAAACAAATTTGTGAAGGGTCCGATTAAAAGATAAATTATTTTGTGAAGGGTCCGTTTTAAAGTTAAAATATTTCGTGAAGGATCCGTTTTCATGAAAAGATATTTTGTGAAGGGTCCGTTAACGGACCTAAATTTCTTCTAAACAGACCTCTGTATATGTTTAATCAAAATTAATTTTAGGTCTAAATTAAGGGCTAACGGTAAATGAATGTTTAAAATTTAACTAAGGGTCTTGGTAGGTTTTTACTTAGATGAAAAAAAAACTATTTAGATAATAGAGTTAACTATTTATTTATTACTATTATTGTTAACTATTTAGATAAAACAAAAATACTCATAATAGTTAACTGTTTAATTAAAAAAATTTGATCCATTAAATTAGATTTCAAAGAGCATGTATATTTAAATTAGATTGGAATTAATTGAAAATTAATCTTTCATATCGTTAATTACCTGCGCAAAATTAAGTTGAGAAAAAAAATAGCGTTGAACAAACAGTTTGAAACTTTTTCAATTAATTTTAGTGAAGCGTAAAACACGGAAAAAAAAATTCAATTACTTTAAAAAATGGAACTTCCATGATATTGCTCTTAATCTGTCTTCCAAAAAAGTAATTAAAAAGACTGGGAATTATTTTAAATAATGTCGGAAAAACTTTGAAGATATGCTTTATTTGTTTGGGAGGGGGCAATATATGTTTTCTATGACTGCAAGATTTCGTGTCACTTAAAAGTGTGGTTATCTAAAAGAAAAATCGTTAAGTAAGAGGTTTAATTAAAAAAAAAGTGAGAATATAGTAAAGAAAAGCAATTTCTAACGATTTATGTGACATAATCTTAAAAATAAACGGAATTAGAAAGTTAATTAGAATTTAGACAGACATCAAAAGAAAAGAAAAACTAACATTTAGCTAAAAAAAAAAGAAGGAAAAATATAATCAGCTTCACACCATTTTAAATGACATAATGACTATATACAAAATAATCGAAATACTTTTAATACATTTTTTCATAGTACTCAAGAAATATTTAAAGAATCATTTTATAACTTAAGAAATATTACATTCAAATATTACAGAAATATTACATACAAATATTATTCTCATACATATCATCATATCAATGAAGTTTAATGCTTTTAGAGGTTTGAGGGAATAAATTGCAAACATAAAATAGTGTTTTTGAGCACCCTATGCCAAAAAATGTACCAATAAGTTTATGACTAGTAACAATTATTTCGGTTATTATATGCAATGATTGCGCAAAATTTCCTAAACCTAGCTTAAATATTTATGGAAATAAGGACATTTTTATAGAAAACTAATTTTTTTGAGTTACGTTTTCTTGTTACAATTTTAAAAAGAGTCAATAAAATTTAACAAAATTTTTGGAGAGATTTAAAATTAAATATAAAAGTATTGCTTTAAAATTTGAAATTTTTTTTTTTTTTNTATTCAATGAAGTTTAATGCTTTTAGAGGTTTGAGGGAATAAATTGCAAACATAAAATAGTGTTTTTGAGCACCCTATGCCAAAAAATGTACCAATAAGTTTATGACTAGTAATAATTATTTCGGTTATTATATGCAATGATTGCGCAAAATTTCCTAAACCTAGCTTAAATATTTATGGAAATAAGGACATTTTTATAGAAAACTAATTTTTTTGAGTTACGTTTTCTTGTTAGGATTTTAAAAAGAGTCAATAAAATTCAACAAAATTTTTGGAGAGATTTAAAATTAAATATATTAATATATAAATTTAATATATAATATAAAAATTAAATATATATATAAAAGTATTGTTTTAAAATTTGAAATTTTTTTTTTTTGAAAACTGGGCAAAATATAAGTAAGTAAAATAGCTCTTTTTACTGCGCATGCGCAAAAAATTTTTCTTCTTTTTTTTCCTGCATAATTTTGTAGTGAATCGCGTTTGGCAACTAATAAAAAAAAGACCGATTTGAATATCTTAAAAATTTAAGTTTCAAATAATTTTTTAGTTTTTGCACTTTTTAAAAGAAGCTCAAAATGATAAGAGGGTTTCTAAAAATATTATTTTGTATCATAAAACAAAATTTCATTTTAACACATGATAATATCCATGATAACACATGATAATAATAATGATGGTCCGGAAAACAAAGTGTGATGTTATTAAGAAATAAAACATGCGAAAGACAAGATACTTTTTACAGGGGATGATCCCCAACAATGCGGGTGTCACTTTTAATAAATCTTGCTTAATACGACAACATGAAATTTGCAGAAAACCCCTTATCTTTTTTAACTTTCTTTTAAAAATCACGAAAGGTACTTAGAAAAATGATTAAAACTTTTTAAATTTTTAAGATATTCAATTTCGATTTTTTGTTATTAGTTGTCAAATACGATTCTAAGAAAACAAAAATTTAAATTTTTCTCACGCATGCGCAGTATAAAAGAACAACTTTAATTACTCATGTCTTGCGCAGTTTTAAACAATTTTTTCTTAATTTTAAAGCAATAATTCGGTAATTATTTTCAAATTGCTCATAATTAAAAAAAAATTTTTTTTTGAATATTTTTAAAATTACAGCAAATAAACGTGAGACAAAAAATTTAGTTCCCCCCCCCCTCCAAAAAAAATTGCATATATCGATAAATATTTAAGCTGGATCTACGAAATTGTGTGCAATTATTCGCATATAGTAACCAAAATAATTGTTACAAATGACAAATTTATTGTCACATCATTTGGCACTGGGTGATCAAAAAACACGATTTTCCGTCTGTAATTTGTCGTCGGTCCCTTAAACCCCTAAAAGCTTAAAACTTCATTGATAAGTATGAGAAATCATGTAACCAGGGGTCTGTCCAGACATTTTGTGAAATTGTGAAAAAATTACTCGCATTCTTACAACCAGGGTCCGGTTTTGTGAATTTGGGAAAATAGGGTCCGTTATTGCAAACTTTTTCAAGGAGTTTTTAGATGGTAAAGACATACAAGATTATGCTAAACACTGTAAAATTATAATTAAAAAAATTAAATTTTAAAAAATTAACAGCAATTGCAGCTACTAAATTAGAGATGCAACATACAAATATTTGGTATTTAGCCTATACTGCTGAACGCAAAATATTCATTTCGGACGAATAACGGAAAAATCGTCTGCCGAATACAAAACTTAATTCGTTTACACTCATCTTTCTTGTTGCCTGCCCTAGGAAGGGTTTATTCAATTAACAAATCAATAATAAAGATAAACAAACTTGTGAATAATGATTCAAAGAAAAATTATTTTGTGAAGGGTCCGTTTTTAAGTTAAAATATTTTGTGAAGGGTCGTTTCTATGAAAAGATATTTTGTGAAGGGTACGTTAACGGACCCAAATTTTTTTCTAAATAGACCCCCGATAACCTAAACAATTATAAATTTATAAAATGATTCTTTGAGTATTTATTGAAAAATATAAAAAAAATGTGTTAGTTTAGAAGCGTTTACACTATTTTGTTCAACCCCTGTATCGATATTAATTGAACTTGAATCCCAATGTATACTTTTATACAGTTATATACGTATAATAACTTAGTTTTCACAAACTATTTCATCTTTGCATTTTTTATCATCATTGAAATTCAATTGTTTTAACTTTAAAATCAATCAAACGAATCTAAGAAATATATGTTTCTGAAATTCAAAATCTTAATCGATTTTTTGTTTTGTTTGAGTACTATGCCTAATAGTTTACATAATCTGTTAGCAGCGATTCCGTAAGGCATTTTGAAGGTTTGTTCAAATAATATTCAGTTACTTTTATTCCACTGAATGATCATATCTCGTTTAGCTGATAGACAATTCGTTAGAATTTACACTGGATTTTTTAACAGCATTAAAGTCAAAGATATTATAACTGAAAATAAAAAAAGGGATTAAGTGGGTCTGCTCCCGGTGCTTTTGGAGCCTGCTTCAAACTGCTCTGACGATGTTGTTCGTAAACAAACTGAAGAGTTTAATCGGTTTTAATCGTTAAAGAAGAGTAGAGATTTTAGTTCCTTCACGCTTTGTTATAAATAAACGCTTTTGTGTAAAATTAAAAGATTTTGAAAACAAACTTTTGATTTCAATACAAAATATTTTCCAATATTTCTCAATATTTAGTCAATAATACTTTGGTCATTTTTTCATCGAAATAAAAATTTATTTTAAATATACATTTAGAAATTCCGATTTTGATAGGTTCATTAAAAGTAGAATGATCAAACAACATTCAGTGGGAATGTTCCCTAAATTTGTAGAAGTCGTGAATTGTATTTTATTATTTTATTAGTTTAACTTCTTCAATTGTAGTAATTTTCGCAAAGAAATATTTAAAATATTGATGAAGGAATTATTATTAAAAAAAAAGAATAATGACGTTGTGAGAAAATTTTGAATTGAATTGATTGAAAAATCAACAGTTACTTTTATTATTACAAATTAACTATTAACATTAACTATTAACATACTCATTAACTATTAACAAACCGTTAAACTTGACAAAAGTGGAAAAAGTTTGAATCGGGTTCAAAAGTTTGATGTAGTAGTGCAGTGTTTCCCAAACTTATGTACCCTTTCTAAATTTTTCGTAGCGCTGTGTACCGCTAATAAAAAAATGAATGCCATTTTTTACTATAAAAAAATTGCTCAAAAGTTAAAAATCACAACTGGCTGTTGATACTACTAATTATTAAATGTTAACTCTGCAAAAAATAGCCAATAGAAAAATACGTAATCGTAAATTTTCATGCCTGACTTTATTTTTAAATAAAATTTTTTGAAATTTTCGTTTGTTGCCAGATATTTTGCATAAGAAAGCGTACCCCTGGGGGTACGCGTACCACACTTTGGGAAACACTGTAGTAGTGGAACGGACCCTATGGTTACTTCAGAAACTCCAAAAAAAAAAAAAAAATGGAGTAGAACAGAAATGTTTATTTTTGTTTGAAATGGCGCATGCGCTGTGTCCAAAGGGAAAATTAAATGTGTTTATTATTCAAAGCTGAAAAAATGGCGGATTAAAACTTGACAACCATCTAAAGTTATAGGTGATTAAATATTTTATTATTCAATATTAGCGTTTTTGTACCCAGTTTTGATAATGAATGCTATTTTTTCCATATTTTTTCAGACAATACAAAATAACAGAAAATAAAACATCACGCGCATTGCGTAGAAGCTAAATTTTCGACACAGGTATGCACTCAACAAGCGGTCAGAAGCGTCAGTTTAAATTAAATTTAAAGTTTACGTTTGTAGGTTTAATTACTGTAGCGCTTTTAAAACTTTATATTGAATTAATGTATTGTAATTAACTTTATATTGAATTATTTATTAATTAAGCATTCAATTAATGCATAAAAATTTTCTATATAATTTGAAACAAAAAGCAGATATAACTGGCCGGTGAACGATCTTTTAAGCAGAAAATATCAATTTTCAACAATTTTGAATGAACTACGACCTTAAACAGATAAATAAAAGTAAAAAATGGAGCTACGAACTTAATATTCTAAAACACAATATTTCTTTCTAATTAATGGATCATTTGATTGAGATTTAGAATATCCTTAGGAGAGAAATGTAAACATTCGTTGCCGAGACTTTATTTCATGTCGCTAAATAGTAAAAAAGTAAAAGCAGTCTTAATACCTAAACCATCCAATTTCTCATTTTTCGCTCAAAATGAAAGAGTTAAGGCTTCACATTTTGGCAGATGTTCTCATTAGATGCGGGAGAACGATTTAGGAACAATTTTTTTTAACAACTCTTTTCTGGGTGACAGATATGGGATTTCCAACCAATTATTCTACGAAATAAACGAAACGATGAATCAAAGTTGTCAGAAACTAAAGTTTTCAAAGTAAAAGCAATAACTTGACAGATTTTTATCAGAAAAATTCGTTGATTAGAAAAGTAGAATCTTTCAGTTGGATATATGAAGGCAAGATCAATAACAGAGGTTTTGATTTTAAAGCTAAACTAAATGAAGTCCATTGCGACAGAATTTTCATGAAAGGCTTTTAAAATTAATCACGAGTGATTTTTTTAAAAAAAAAAAATTGATACAGGATTTTAGGAAAGATTTTTAACGTATTTAAATAAAGAAAATTCATTAAATCAAAAATGAGATTTTTTTGTGTTTATAATGATAGAAATAACTAAGATTATGTTTTATCAATGATAAGCGAAACATTTATTTCTGATATTTACGATAACTTATTCTAAGATATACTTTATAAAGAGACGTTGAGAGAACGTTTGTTCATAACATTAGTAAGCGGTTAAAATTTATTTAGTATCTTCAATCAATTTTAATTAATTGAATTAAGATTAAAAATATACGAACTGAATTTTAAGGAAATAGTTCGCATACATATTATTTATGGGCTATTTATACAGTTAATACTATCTATAACATATGAAAAAAAAGAACACTTACATCTTTATTTTCACCATTTGGACACGGTCTACCTAAACTGTTTGCTGGAAGTAAAACATTTCGACGTCGTTCTATAAAACCTTTTCCACAAGGAACGCTACACGGGCTCCAAGGAGTCCAAGCTGTCACTTTACAATCCAAAGGACAATCTACAAGGCACAAATCCTTCTCTAAACCTAGAAAAAAAATCTTTCAATTAATTCCGNGAAGAACATACAATTTGGGAATTAAAGAACATGGAGCTATTTTACAATTTCTGTTAATGTTTGTTTTTAACTTACTAAACCAAGTACTTTTAACAAAAGTTTGTTACCTGTTATAATTCAAAATATCCATATAAAACCAATAAATTATCTTTCAAAATCAAAATTTACTATACCAATTTGAACCATACATTGCCTTTTGACATTGTTATAACTTGACAATTTTCAAGTTTGATGGCCTTTTCCAGAAATGCATTGTGGCAAAGAATATTTCCCAGTTTTGTATATAATTCTTGCTTATATTTTGATTGAGACAAAACTTGTTATCTACCTTGCTTTTCTTCAAAAAAATGAAGTGGAAGAATGTAACTTTTGTTGACTTATACCAACTCCTATCATATGACTAAGATATCATGTGACTAAGATATCATGTGATTAAGATATCATATGACTAAAAAACGTGATTTAAAACGTTTTGTTTAAACTAAACTGCTAAGACATGATGAATGTGAAAAAAAATGCCTCTATTCTATCTTATCTGCCTTATTCTGTCTTGTTCTCCCTAATCAATGTTTTTATGTACTTTTTTTCACATGTTGTAGAATGTTATTTTGAAAGTTTGGAAAACTTATAGAAAACAAGAACATGGTTAACATGGAAAAACTCCATAGCCCAAGGAATTTGGTGCTAATTCCACCAAATTGGGATACTAAATAGTTTAATACTCCAACCAGCGGTAATTTAAAAAATAGTAATTAAAAAAAAACTTTAATTTTTTTTTAATAAAAAAAGTTTTGATGTTTTTTAGAACATTTTGTCGCAGTTTTTTTTATCTAAAAATATCTAAACATAAAAACACTTTGCATTCATTATACTTTAACGACAAGAACAAATAAGCTATTTTGAAGAAGACCCTAAAAGAATAACCACGGATTTGGTATATATAGTTTTCCATTTTTGGCGATACATCTCGTTGTTTGTCACCATTTTTTTTTTCTTTTCGAAAACGGTTTACACAAGTACCAAAACATCAAAAGAGTTAATTTCTTATTTACCAGGTTCAACGCCATGTTCCTTATTTATTTGCAGTCCCCTTTTATATCTATATCCTTCACCACAATCGAGTTTCCTAATTTCACCATTGATGAGAACTTCTGTTTTATTGCTTTCTTCGACAATGCAGGACATCCATTTGGCGTCATCGTTATTGTTGAATAGCATTGCTTCAGTTATGACGGGGCATTCTTCTTCCTCGGTAAGTTTGAATTTTATTTCACAGTCATTGACATACGCACTTTCACCTGTGATTAAAAAAAAAAAAGAGCAGGTGATGTATAATGAGGTAAATGAAAACAGAAATTTCAATTTCACGACACGTTTTTTAATAATTAGGAGGTAACGACCATCAACTGCCGAGATTGTTTCCCATTCGACATTGCTTTTTTTCCCCTTAAAAATCGACATTTAAAAGAAAAAAAAAATTCGAATATCATTCGTTAGTGAAGCATGACTATGATTTAAATGAAAGAACATTTTAATCCGTTAATCACAACGACATGAACGATTACATGGATTTGAAAATTAATTAACAGGGGTCTGTCCAGACATTTTATGAAAGGTCCGTTTTTCGTGAAATTGTGAAAAAATTACTCACATTCTTTCAACCAGGGTCCGCTTTTATGAATTTGTGCAAATAGAGTCCGTTATTGCAAAAAAAAAACTTTTTCAATGAGTTTTTAAATTGTAAAGACATGCAAGATTATGCTCAACACTGTAAAATTTTAATTAAAAAAATTAAATTTTAAAAAATAAACAACAATTGCTGTTTCGAAATTAGAGATGCAACATACAAATATTTGGTATTTAGCCTATACTGCGAAGGCAGAACATTAATTTCGGACGAATAATGGAAGAATCGTCTGCCGAAGACAAAACTTAATTCGTTTACATCCATCTTTCTTGTTTTCTGCCCTGGAAAGGGTTTATTCGATTTACAAAATATTAATGAAGATAAACAAATTTGTGAAGGGTCCGATTAAAAGAAAAATCATTTTGTGAAGGGTCCGTTTTTAAGTTAAAATATTTGTGAAGGGTCCGTTTTTATGAAAAGATATTTTGTGAAGGGTCCGTTAACGGACCCAAATTTCTTCTAAACAGACCCCTGATTAACTGTAAACAAAATTCATCGAAATAAGTAATTTAACTCACTAACGATATATTTATACGGATAACCTTAACTAGTTACACAAGTTCAAATTAGGAATGATTTTATTATCTCTTTAATTAATTTTTTAAGTTGTTTTTTTTTAAATTTCAATATAAATGTTAAAATTTACATCTCTTAACATATTATCTCACTCTCTTCTATTTTCTGCCTATATTCATCAACACAAGCGTGAGCTTATAAAGATCTCGAAAAGGATAAATAAATTTTTCTACAACGATGGATAAATTTTTTTTTGTCAAAGTAAGAAAAAGTAAGAAAAATGAGCTAAAAATATTTAAAATTGTAATAACTTTCAACGAATTGGAATGTCGAAAAACGGGACTAGTTTTAAGTTCCTAAATAAAAACGTCTCTTTCAGCGTGTAAAAATTTCAATTTGAAGTCGCATTTCTGCGGGTTGCAGAGCGGTCATAATGGTATTTTTGTACTAAAAGTTTAACAGTTAATAAATCACGTGCTTATTGTTGTTAAATTTTTATATTTTTTCCTACTCACTCTGTACAATTTTCTACTCCCTTTTGAAATGTAATGTTATGTTGGACACCAAAAACAGCGGCATACGAGGTGCCTACGATTTTTTGTAATTAATTAAAAATTTTAATTATTACTTACAAATGAAATATAGGGAATGCGAATACTGACTGATAGTATAAATAAATAGGTATATTGATATTTACTATATATCTATATTTGAATTTTATATTTCATTAAATGTGAATATATTTTCTATCCAACAGTTAGTTATAAGATAAAAAATAATAATTTAGTCTTGAATAAATGTATAACTCAACTTACATAAGATACGTGACCCCAACTTTGAAAACATACAAATTGAATCAGTGGTTATGTCGAAAACAAACACCTAACTGTCGTCTTAGTTTTGACGTCAACTATCTTTCTTTACATAAAAACAAGTACAATTTCATCCAAGTCAATCATTAAGGAAACCCAAGTTTTGTATTTTCATCTTATTTACTATAAAGATGGTTATAAGAGAAACATATAAAATTTTATATTCGTCCGAATTCTGTTTTTTTCTTTATTATGTCTTATATGTGGTTAGAATCGATAAAAAAAAATATTGTATTGTATAAAGTGATATTGAATAGTTCTCTGCGATGGATTATTTCTGCTCAAACAAAGACGTGAAATTGAATTCTTCCTTTCTTTCATGGAATGACGCGCATAAAGTTTGAAACATTATATTCAATGTATTTATTTTATATTACATTTTGTTTTTCAATAACAAAGCTGTTATGACAGAAAAAAGCATACTAAAAGATATGATAATTTTTTGTATTTCATCTTTACTTTGAATATAAAGTTGTACATTTATTTCAAAATCTTCTATGCCATGAAGTCTATTCAAGGGTCTGTCCAGACATTTTGTGAAAGGTCCGTTTTTGTAAAACTGTGAAAAAATTACTCGTCCTTTGTGAAGATATAATAAACGTTAAGTCACATTCTTTCAACCAGGTTCCTGCTTTTATGAATGTGTGCCAATAGGGTCTTGTTATTGCAAAAAACTTTTTCAAGGAGTTTTTAAATTGTAAAGACATACCAGATTATGCTCAACACTGTAAAATTATAATTAAAAAAATTAAATTTAATAAATTAATAAATTTAATAAAAATTAAATTAACAAAAATAAACAGCAATTGCTGCTACTAAATTAGAGATGCAACATACAAATATTTGTTATTTAGTCTATACTGCTGAACGCAGAATATTCATTTTGGACGAATAAAGGAAGAAGCGTGTTTACACCTTTCTTGTTTTCTCCCCTGTTAAGTGTTTATTCGATTAACAAAACAATAATGAAGAAAAACAAATTTGTGAAAGGTCCGATTAAAAAAAAATCATTTTGTGAAGGATACGTTTTTAAGTTAAAATATTTTGTGAAGGATACGGTTTTAAGTTAAAATATTTTGTGAAGGGTCCGTTTTTATGAAAAGATATTTTGTGAGGGGTCTGTTAACGGACCCAAATTTCTTCTAAGCAGACCTCTGGTATTGTGGGATATTTATTTATTTATTTATTTTTTTAAAAGATTTGTTATATTTGACGACAGCAGATTGTTACATGAAAGATATTAAAATATAATATCGTAAAATTTTTAATTGCCTTACATATGCTTAGTAATGCAATTTACACGCTATTGGAATCAGAATTGGACACTATTGGAATAAAATTTAAGCCTATAAACCTTGCTATGATAACTTTGCTAAGTTATCATAGCAATTTTAACTATAAACTTATCATTTTAACACTTATTGAAATTGTGTAAGCTAAAAATTATTTTTCAATTTACTCACTGAATTAAAATTAATCAGTGTTCAAAAATTTAAAACATTGTATACACTGTAAAAAAGTACCGGGACTCAAGAGTGCCAATCCTTTTTACCGTAAAATTCATTTTTACGGGATTATGTTACAGAACAGAAAATATACCGTAATTTTTCAGTAAAAATTACAATAAAAACACTAAATAAATATTATTGAGAAAAAAAAAATTCCGGTATAATTGTTTTGCCGTAAAAATGGATTTTACGGATGATGCACCGAAAGTGCCGATACCGTAATTTAGGTCGTAATTTTTTTAATGTAATGTTTTTAGAAATAAAATACGAAATGAGAGAAACTCACCAACAAGTTCCCGATGTCGTGACCTTTTAGATTTGTAAGTATATTTGCATTCAGACCATGGACTCCAGATCGTTAAAACACATTCTTTAGAGGAACATGTCACTTCACAGGATCTCAGGGCCGTAGGAACTAGGCTGAAATTGTCGAACAGGCAAAAATACGGTTCCACTACACGGCCATAACCATCCAAACAACTCACGTCTGAAACATAATACACGATTTCATTATATTTAAAAAAAATGCATTCAAAGTTATGTACTTTTTAACAGAGTTGAGTCTAAATATTTTTTCCCATTAACATTTAAAAGAAGAGAGTATAAATACGTAATATCAACGTAGAACGTCAAACTGGGGGACAACTCGAACTTTTAATCATTCTAAATGATAATTTACCAATGTTCTTTTACGGCACCGTGTCGTGAGCCAAGTTTTTGACAGAAGAACAAACATGTTTGAAATACAGTTAAATCAAACACCATATAAAGGAGTTACATAGTTAATTTTTATACTAACTACATTTTTATTCAGATTGCTCTATCTGTATAGTCGTGGTTAGTAAGGAAGGATTATTGAAATAAAATAAATTTCACAGCTAAAGAAAAACAGTGGCGTACTGTCTTCTCTGAAAAAATCCAGGATGGCCAGTTTTTATTGAATAATAATAATAATAAAAAAAATAATTATTGAATATAATAATAAAAAAATAACAACTATTGAATAATAATAATAAAAAAAAAATCGAGGAAGGGAAATGCTTACATAAATGTAAGCAACAGAAAAGGTTCGCCGGAGCTCAGAAAAGAGGCCAACACAGAGAAGCTATTTTCTCTTGTGCATTATGCGTTAATTTATTTGATCATTTCTCATCGAGTTTATTTGTAGTTTAAACATAGTACAAATAAATTCGGCTCTTTGTAGGCACAAAAGCTTAAATTTATAGTCAATTCTCCACACAGGGTGCTTAGCCAAATTTTTCAGCAAAAAATAAGCTCCTTTTAAGCACTTTTCAAGCAATCAAAAAATATTTTTAAGCACTTTGAAAAATATCATAATTAGACAGGGTTGACTAGTTTTTGACAATTGTTGGTTTTCAAACGATGAAATTAACAAGAGAAATGAAATTTTCTATCACTAATAGAGAAAAAAAATTGACAATGTTTAGTTGGCCCCGTAATCAGAAAAAATTCGAGAGATTTCTCGATTCTATTACAGAGGGCGGAAAATGAAGTCTGAAATTGAGAATCTCTTGCAAAATGCAGCAGGGTTGCACATGAGCAGGGGTCTGTCCAGACATTTTGTGAAAGGTCCGTTTTTCGTGAAATTGTGAAAAAATTACTCACATTCTTTCAACCAGGGTCCGCTTTTATGAATTTGTGCAAATAGGGTCTGTTATTGCAAAAAAAAATTTTTTTTCAAGGAGTTTTTAAATTGTATAGACATACAAGATTATGCTCAACACTGTAAAATTGTAATTAAAAAAATTAAATTTTAAAAAATAAGCAACAATTGCTGCTTCTAAATTAGAGATGCAACATACAAATATTTGGTATTTAGCCTACACTGCTGAACGCAGAATATTCATTTCGGACGAATAATGGAAGAAGCGTCTGCCGAAGACAAAACTTAATTCGTTTACATCCATCTTTCTTGTTTTCTGTCCTGGAAAGGGTTTATTCGATTTACAAAATAATAATGAAGATAAACAAATTTGTGAAGGGTCCGATTAAAAGAAAAATCATTTTGTGAAGGGTCAGTTTTTAAGTTAAAATATTTTGTGAAGGGTCCGTTTTTACGAAAAGATATTTTGTGAAGGGTCCGTTAACGGACCCAAATTTCTTCTAAACAGACCCCTGATGAGAATCAAAAATCCTTACCACTGAATCCAGCTCAGTATACGTAAGTGCGGACCCGCAAGTATTTCATCAAACATGTAAAACAAATGGTGTTTTCATACACTACAGACCGGCGGAACGCCGATATAGATTGGGGTTGAATTAATTGTGAAAACGTTGAATAGGACAATGTCTTTTTGCATAATTTGTGGAGAAAATCAACAAGGTAAAAAAAAATATCACATTTCAGAAAAGGGAAAATTAAGCACTTTTTAAAAACACCCATGCATAAAAGCACCTTTAAGGGCTTTTAAAAAACGAAAATCGAAAATAAGCACCTTTAAGCACTTTTTAAAAACGCTACGCTCCCTGTCTACATTAGGTAAAATTTCGATAATCCCATCCATCTTCTCACCTCCCTCCCCCACAAAAAAATTATTTTTAAAATCAAACTAATTTTAGGTAATAAATAAATGACTTTTTTCTTATAAATCAATATGAATCCTACGAAAATATTTTAATATAATACTGCTAGAAAAAAATGGCCCTATCGAGGGTAAGCAAGAATAAACAAAAACGTTATCCAAAAAGCAACAAATCACTATTGAGGAAAGGAAGTCTGAAACAATCCAAACCTGTTTGATTGCCAGAGAAGAGAGTTGAATGGCGATTATTGGAAGCTTCCCCTAAATACAGTACAATCAAATGGATTCCGATATTTTTCATCCGTCTTCCTCATCAATGAGGGAATAAACTTTGTTAGAGATTTTGTTTCTACTCCCCAAATATGCACACTTTTTTAAATTTCTCTTCTGAGAAGGATTCGGAAAGTATGCACAAACGGTTTTGATTTTAAACATCCTGAATGTAATAAACATGAGTTTAAGGCTTTGAGATCTAAAAAATAAATGTTGATGTAAAGAAATATAGAACTAAAAATATAAAAATAAATATAAAGCGTGCTGATAAGATTAAAGGGTTAGAAAAATTGCTTGAAACTCAGTTACAGTTTGACTGTAAAAATCTTAAAATTCCACAGCATTAGAAAAATGGAAACCTTTTTGATCCCTCAAACACTGAAAAGGAGAGGAAAAACATTCGAATGAAAAATAGTGATATGGTGATAAAAGTTGAAGGCATCCATTACTTAAATGGCAGCAAATAAGAATGAAGCGCAAAAAAATAAAATTACCTCGGATATTTTGGTGCAAAAATGTCAGCAATGCGGAAATGTTCTTCATCAACAGTTTTTTTTGTTGTTATTATTGGTGAAAACATTAAAGGCTATAAAAGAGAACACGATTCGCGTAACGTCATATTTTTTCTATTGTTTATGAAAAGAAAGGGAGAAAATGTCGATAGGGTGTGTGCAGAATAGTAAACAAAAGATTTTAAAGCTATTTTGCCTTAATAAAAAATATTGGGAAACTTAATAAAAACATATTGAGGAACTGTATTGTCACACAATATTAAAATAAGTATTAGAAGGAAATATATTAAAATACAATATTAATATATTAATATTGTATAAGAAATATATTTAAAAATTATTTTCAAACATTTTCACTATTATATAACCCTATTTGAAAGATAATTTGTTAGATGGCTCGTATATTTTTTTTTCTATTCCAAAAAACGCTATTGAGCAGTAGATCAACCTTTGGAATCGTTTTTAAATTTTACTTTTAAACTTTTTATATTATATTAAGTATATGGATATATATGTATATGATATTATATATATGAATATATGTGTATATGATATTATATATATGTATATATATATCAGGAGTCTGTCCAGACATTTTGTGAAAGGTCCGTTTTTGTAAAATTGTGAAAAAATTACTCGTAATTTGTGAATATAAAATAAACGTTCAGTCACATTCTTTCAACCAGGGTTCACTTTTGTGAATTTGTGCAAATAGGGTCCGGTATTGCAAAAAAAAACCTTTTCAAGAAGTTTTTAAATTGCAAAGACATACAAGATTATGCTCAACACTGTAAAATTATAATGAAAAAAATTAAGTTTTAAAAAATAAACAGCAATTGCAGCTACTAAATTAGCGGTGCAACAGATAAATATTTGGTATTTAGCCGGTACTGCTGAACGCAGAATATTCATTTCGAACGAATAAAGGAAGATGCGTCTGCGGAAGACAAAATTTAGTTCGTTTATATCTGTCTTTCTTCCCCCCCCCCTCCTGGGAAGGGTTTATTCGATTAACAAAACAATAATGCAGATAAACAAATTTGTGGAGGGTACGTTTTTAAGTTAAAGTATTTTGTGAAGGGTCCGTTTTTATGAAAAGATGTTTCGTGAAGGGTCCGTTAACGGACCCAATTTTCTTCTAAACAGATCCCTGTATATACACACACACCGAAGAGCCATGACATTATGACCACCCTGCTAATAACATGTAGAACCACCTTTAGCCCTCAAAACTGCTAGCACCCGCCGTGGCATTGATTCCACAAGCTGCTGACTGAGAGGTAGTCTGAGGTATCTGGTACCAAGCGCTCACCAACTGGTCTTGCAATTCCCTCACTTTGCGTGGGGATAGCGTGGCAGCACGAATTTGGTTTTCCAAGTAGGACCACAAATGCTCTGTTGGATTAAGGTCAGGTGAATTTGGGGGCCAAGACATGACGATTCGACCCTTATGACATGGTGCATTATCCTGTTGGTAAACACCATCCCCCGCAGGAAAAACTGTTGCCATGAATGGGTGAACCTGGTCTGCAACTATGTTCAAGTAGCTTACAGTCGTCAGGGATTGTTCTATGAGGTATATGGGTCCTAATGTGCCCCATGAAAACATTGTTCCTGGGCGAGAAACCATGAAAACTTGAGCGAGCCCATTGTTATAGATGGAGGGTGGTCATAATGTAATGGCTCTTCGGTGTATAGATAAAATATGATATTTTACTTGAAATGACATTTGAGGCTCAAAACTTTTATAAATAGTGATAATTAGAATTATAATTTTAGACAATTCTTTTTAGAAAAATGTGCTTTAATGATCACTTACACTTCAGCATTAAGGAATAGAAAATTTAAGTTTAACATGTTCAAGAATATCTTCCTTAATATTATATATAAAAGCCATTTTCAACCTTAATGATGATCAGTAGACAATGGTGGCACATGCGCGAACTTCACTACTGCAATATAGATCTAATGGTAGATGGTGGTAGATAATCACAGACGGTCTCCTCACCGAATTCCTCAACCACTTGACCTAGTGTTAACTTTCCCGAACCCCTAAGACAAGAGATAGTGCAATCCGATCAAGCAACCAGTCATTAGCATGGGGTATGACACCCTGGTTCAAGTCGTTGTAGTCAATAACTTTAGCCCATTGCATAACTGGACGAACTAGTTACTTAAAAGATAAATATAGTTTTTCTAAGCTAAGAACTCCTCCCGCCACAATGTCTGAGGCCGTCGGGTGCTATGGAAACAAGAATGGCGCATTTTAGGGAGGGTAGCTTCCCTCTAGGAATAACACAATAGACCAAAGAAACAGATTCCCTTTCTCTCGCCGAAACCACTCCAAAACAGTGACACCGCACCCCTATTTGAAACAGCCATACTTCGTTACCATAGACACCGCCACAGGTCCAGACGAATGTCTGGGGGAGTTCTTATTTTAGACAAACTATAGAGTGACCGAAAACACTAAAATAAGTAAATAAATAACACTTTCTGTTATTTTACTGTGTTCAGGGGTCTGTCCAGACATTTTGTGAAAGGTCCGTTTTTTGTAAAATAGTGAAAAAATTACTCAGAATTTGTGAATATAAAATAAACGTTAAGTCACATTCTTTCAACCAGGGTCCGCTTTTGCGAACTTGTGCAAATAGAGTTCGTTATTGCAAAAAAACTTTTTCAAGGAGTTTTTATATTGTAAAGACATACAATATTATGCTCAATACTGTAAAATTATAATTAAAAAATTTATATTTTAAAAAATAAACAGCAATTGCTGCTTCTAAATTAGAGATGCAACATACAAATATTTGGTATTTAGCCTATACTGCTGAACGCAGAATATTAATTTCGGACGAATAATGGAAGAATCGTCTGCCGAAGACAAAACTTAATTCGTTTACATCCATCTTTCTTGTTTTCTGCCCTGGAAAGGGTTTATTCGATTAACAAAATAATAATGAAGATAAACAAATTTGTGAAGGGTCCGTTTTTAAGTTAAAATATTTTGTGAAGGGTCCGTTTTTAAGAAAAGATATTTTGTGAAGGGTCCGTTAACGGACCCAAATTTCTTCCAAACAGATCCCTGCATGGGATCCACCAGACATCACTGAAGGGGGAAAAAATTATTCGGAAAAATAGCACTTTTTAAAAACGCAAGCTGAAAAAAAGCACCTTTAAAAGCTTTTAAAAACGAAATCTCCAAAAAAGCACCTTTAAGTACTTTTTACAAAAGCTACGCACCCTGGATTAACAAAACAATAATGATGATAATTAAATTTGTGAAGGGTCTGATTAAAAGATAAATTATTTTGTGAAGGGTCCGTTTTTAAGTAAAAGTATTTTTTGAAGGGTTCGTTTTTATGAAAAGCTATTTTGTGAAGGGACCGTTAACGGACCCAGATTTCTTCAATACAGACCCCTGGTGTTTATCCAAACTGATTTTATACAACTTCTCTGACTATATTAACTGCTGGCATAAATTTTATAATAAGTTTTTCAGTTATGCTTTATTTTTTTCTGCATTATTACAAAATTATTATATGTGCTATTAGATCTTATTTTTCAGATTCAAATTAATTCGTTTTCCCTGATTTTTTTGAGCATTTCAAATTAAATTTCCTGACATTTCCAGATTGATAAAAATCTCCTGATTTCTCTATTTTGTGGCCTGATAGAGTAACAGTATATTGAGATTGAGGTGAAGCATTTCAGAAGCAGAGGTGAAGCCTACTTGCTAGAGAGTTAATAAAAAAAAACAATAGCAAGGGGGAAAATGTAGTATTAATTATGAAAAGTTGTGCGAAAATGCTTGTTCTTTTCTAAGTTAAACAACTTACTTCTAACTTGGAACCCAAATCCACACGGTTGTTTCTCAACGGGAAGCAAGCACTCACTCCATGAACTGATATTCCAGTGATAGGATGGTTCAGAGCGTCTACCAAGTGTCCACCGCAGACAATCGGGCTGTTGAGATTCAGTACAATGTCTAGCTTCTTCCAGAGCGTCTGGACAAGCCTTACCTCCATATTTAGGATACTGCAGGATTATCCGTCGTCTCTTTTGAACACCATCTGGAAAATAACAATTTTTAAAGATTTTTTTTTGTACTAACTATTCTGTATGTGCTTAAGAATTTACCTACATGAATAATGAAATAAAATGGATGAGTATAAAAGTTGTATACGGTTATATTACAGGTAAAAAAAACTACGCATGACCTAATTTTTTTCTACAGAATATACTCAGTCCAGTCACATTAATGTGAACACCTTTCGATGAGTTGACCGCTGCAAGACGTGCAGGTAGAGACTCAATTAGGTTCTTGAAGGTGTTCTCTAGAATGTTTACAGGGGTCTGTCCAGACATTTTGTGAAAGGTCCGTTTTTCGTGAAATTGTGAAAACATTACTCACATTCTTTCAACCAGGGTCCGCTTTTATGAATTTGTGCAAATAGGGTCCGTTATTGCAAAAAAAAAATTTTTTTTCGAGGAGTTTTTAAATTGTAAGATATACAAGATTATGCTCAACACTGTAAAAATATAATTTAAAAAATTAAATTTTAAAAAATAAACAACAATTGCTGCTTCTAAATTAGAGATGCAACATACAAATATTTGGTATTTAGCCTATACTGCTGAACGCAGAATATT